GGGTCCACAGGATAGTTGGTGATATAATCAGGGAATGCCGACAGTTCACTGATGTCTTCACTGGTAAATGGCACCAGACATGTGCTCTCAGTGGAAGGCAGGCTTGCCTCCAGTGCTTCTTTAAGCTGCCCTATCCCACTAAGTTGAATGACGGCAGGATCAGCCACGCACGCAACTATCCTGCGAGTACCATCACTGTCATCAGGGCAAAGAAAGGACGAGCACATCGTTGTTTCTTCGACAGAGGGTGGGAACACTCTCAGCCGTTTACTGACTATTTCTCATTAGCAGACGTATTTCTGTAAGCAACCATAATACTTAGTATTTAGTTCTTAAATATTTAAAAATTTCTTTGTAATTTACAAAGAAAACTGTAATATCAGTACAGTAATTAGTAATTGCTAAGTAAAACTGACAAAAAATACTAAGTATTATGGTTGCTTACAGAAATGCGTCTGCTAATAAGAAATAGTCAGTAAACGGCTGAGAGTGAACCGCAGTCTCCGAGCCATGTCACCAGGAGTCAAAGCGCAGTCTACAGAAACGATGTCGAGATCCACTTCTGTGGAAGGCATGGTCTTAAACAAGATCTCAGCCCTCCGCTGATAAGTAGCCTTATTAACGCCTTCCTTGTTGATCGAAGCAGCCAGGTGCAGGGCTGGGCAATCAATTTCGTCGACATACTCTCTAAATGTAGGGCTGTCACAATAAAACGTAGCGTACAAGTGGATGAGGGCATCAAATGCACTAGTGTTGTTTAGGGAAACACTAACATTGTTGCACTTCTTCGGTTTTAAGCCCACAAACCCTCCATTTCGAAGTAGAGCCAGGTTGGTCTTGTAATCATTGTCAAGCATGAACTGGAGCTCCTGGTAGGGCTGAGCATAGTAGCCACGGCCTTTCTGCTTTGCAAGGCCAAGATTCATCCAGTTTTCGATCTGCGACAAATCCCACGCACCTGAAAAAGAAACCGTGCAGTCCATGGTCAATACTCAAAAAAACTTGCCAAGAAAGTGTTCACATTGCAAAAAGATTACTTCGTCGACATAAAAGAAAACGGGCAAGTTACAAGTTCTTTCCAAATTAAAGCAAAAAAAATCTTTCCGAGTGTGCGCGCAAAGTACTTTCCAGTCAGGATTGGGTGCTCGACATATCATCGGTTTGACGTAAAATCGATGGATTTCTACGTTTAACCAACGCCGTTTCCAACACCTTGTACTGGCCGGGGTGTTGACTTGCTAAGGAATTTCAGCCACATTCAGCTCTTTAACCACGGAAATAAAAAATAAGTCACTTACACTCTAAATGTCTTACGAAGAAATTTCCCATAATACGAAGGAAATGGCGCAAGCATAATACGAAGGTGGTTTTTCTTCGTATTACGAAGGTTTTTCTTTGTATCTTACAATGAAAAAGCTAAAAAGATTCGTATTACGAAGGAATATTGCTTCGTAATATGCTTGCGCCGAATTCACTGCAACATACGAATAACACAAGTCAAATTTCATTGTAAGACATTTAGAGTGTAAGGCCTTTTGAGTGAAAAAAAATTCCAATGCTAATCGCATTGCACGGTGTTCCCGTTTCCACAACTGGTTTAGAACTAAGATATAAACAAATGTGTACAAATTGTGGTTTGGCCTGAATGAAATAGCCATATTGGACCGTGCCAGTGTCATCTCTTGAATGATCATGAGAAAATCCAAAAATGTCAAAGTGCGCATGCGCTTAATTCAAACTAAGTAATAGAAAAGAGTTCTGTCAAACCTGATTCAGTTAACACTATGACCGTCTCACTCCATTTCGCGAGTTACAGCGCTCATGTTCGTTAAACGAGAGTCAGCGGCGTTTCGAAATCACCCTTGCCGAGTTTATAAAGTTTGTCAAACCAACCATCGTGCTGTTTTTACGTTGTGAGTAAGAACTGTTCTACAGAATCGAGGAAAACATGACAAGACAACCGCAGCCTATGAGAGCATGCCAAACGATCCAATCTCAGCAACAATGGAGGGGCAGTTTCAATGGGCGCCTGCTCGTTCTTTCAGCCTCGCGATTTTCGAAAGGGCGCCGACGGCAAGCAAATTGGTGCCAACCCACGAAAATTAATTTGATGTGTCGTTTAGGCTACGAACTTTTTACTAGTGACAGACTTTAAAGATGTTCGAACGTTGAGAGACCGTGCAATGCGTTAGCATTAGCATTTACGAATTTCACGGCGTTTAGATTTCTTTTAATGGACGACTTTAAATTCTGACGGGTGGCACGATGGGACCATGCCGTTGCCATGGAGATTGTTTTTTCATGTTTTAAGTATTTGTTCAGAACACAGACGATTTTTTGTTACTTTGATGAGCCAGGAGGTTTAGTTTTGAGGAGTGGTACATTTTTTATTTGAACCATTTTTTCATATCGTGAACGGTTCTCGTTTTCGAGTGTTGTAAATTTATGTTTTTCGCGTTTACGGAAAATTTCCACGATAATTTTCGAAAAAAATAGGAATTTTCGTTTTTTTCATGGTTGAAATAGTTTAGCGTTGTTTATTTGAAAATCGAAGAGGGGGGGGGGAGGAATCCACGGACCTCGGACAATAGGGGTTCTTGGGAACCCCTAAAAAAAACTCTTCGATCTGTTATGTTTTGATGTGTTCTGTAAGCGTGCCGATTGGTATTTCTCTGTATTCAGAATTCAGAATAACAAAGGGAGCGCTTTTCTCTCTCTTCTGTTGAAACAACAGCAAATGACTTGATTTTAAGACCAAAGCTCCTGGATTCACTGAGAATGAAAGAGTGATTTGAAAAAGTTGTTCTGTCATTAAAACTGGGTTCACTGTTAAAAATAATCGTAAATTAACGACATTTTGTAGAACAATTATGTCGTTTTTAAACGACATATTTTGTTACGACTCAAGTCGTAAATATACGACTTGAGTAGTAACGACATATTTGTCGCTAATTTTTATAGCGACACGTTTCGTTTTAAAACGAATTAAGTCGCAAATTTACGACTTAATCGTAAGTTTACGAACAATCGTAAATTATCTTTGGAATATGTCGTGCAGTTATGACTTCAGTCGTACATTTACGACTCTTGTCGTAAATTTGTGTTTTGAATCGTAAATGACGACACAAATCGTAAATAAGTAAGCAAAATTGTAACTTTTCACCAACTTTTCGGGGATTTCAGGTGCCAAAATATGTAATCGTGATTACGACATTGTCGTAGAGAAATGATATTTTAGTCGTTCAGTTACGACGAAGTAGTTTAAGGACGATTTCCGTCGCTATGAAAATTAGCGACTTTTTTGTCGCTAATTTACGACAGAATTTCTAACAGTGAATTGTTCTAGTTTTGTTCTGCGTTGTTCCATCACATTTGGGTTCGAAGTTTTGGTACGTCGTTATGACAGAATATATACGATCTGGGTTCCAACATCAGTAAAATATAATGGGTCTCAAATTTTGTTCTGACACTGAAACTAAATTGTTCTGTTATTGTTCTGCGTTGTTCCGTCTCTTTAGGTGCGTTGTTTTGTTACGTCGCCACACAGTAAAAAAAGATTCGCTGTTTTGGTGGTCGTTCTATATCCAGTCTCACCGAAACGGGTACCCCCACAAGCCCGGCGACGGTCCGTCACCAAAACGGTGACCTGCGTCACCAGGTGGTGTTCCGCCAGAGAGGTTAGGATGACCACAACAACTGTTTTTGAGCTGTCTGTGCATATTTGTGCGTGCCCGCCGGCAATGTTACGCTTTGATGAGTCACGCGAATGATTACTGACAGCCCCTGACTTGTTTTGTGTCCTATTTCACATTAATACGACGATTACAAGGTAGGTTCACGCCAGACCGCGTCTTGTCGTAACAGGCTTCGCGATGTCTCGCTGCCTGTTCCTCCAATCCACGCCTGGCGTACCTACCTTGGCCTGCGGCGCTAGCCTGCCTGCGGCAGGCAATGGCTTGTCCGTTGTCGGTTATTTTTTAACTTGTTGAATGCTGGGGGGCTCCGCCCCCCAGACCCCCCTACATTGTAAATAGAGTTGTTTTATCTACAGATAACACGATCTTGACCCTTGTCACTTTTCAACTTGTCGAGGCTGGGGGGCTCCGCCCCCCAGACCCCCCTTTCTCCAAGACAGAAGTGGTCTATCTGCAGAAATGTCTATTTTTCGCCGTTTTTTAGGTGTTTTTCGCCTATAAAAACTGAACCAGTTGAGCTAGGATGGTGAAATTTCGCGTGTGCCGAGCCAAGGACATACCCAAAAAGTGTGCAAAATCTCATTGAGATCGCCCGAGCCGTTCAGGAGGAGTAGCGCGGACAGACAGACCAGACAGACCGACAGACAGACAGACAGACAAAACTTTCCAACCCCACTGGAGTAACAGGCTTCGCTATCGCTCAGCCAAAAAGTCGCTGGCGGGAGGGTGACTGCAGTGCCGTTCTGGTGAGGTGGCTGCTCCGGAACGGACCGAGCGCCACCGAAACTAGACCGAGCGTCGCCGAAACGAACAGAGGGCCGCCAGAACAGTTTGAGGGTGTCGCTGTTCTTGTAATATTCTCGTTTTGGCGCCCAGACGTCACCGAATCGGCGAATCTTTTTTTACTGTGGCATGGCTTATTGGCTGAGCGATAGCGAAGCCTGTTACTCCAGTGGGGTTGAAAAGTTTTTCCTGTCTGTCTGTGTGTGTGTGTGTGTGTGTCTGTCTGTCTGTCTGTCTGGTCAAGTGGACGCGCGCGAAAGACTGAATCTTGAAACTGGCTTTTTGTGGATGGTGGGAGAAGTAGTGGCTCCAACTTGTGGTGGACGAGTAGAGTGGAACTGATAGTACGTGTGACATTGGTAGCAAATCGTACTTTGAAGTTTTTGGGTTGTTTTTTCCAAAAGCAACAAGTGGGCCGGCTGGACGCCACCTGTAGAGGTTAGGTGTGCCTTCGTGAAAGTGAATGTGAATCTGGTGCCAAACTGAACGTAGTGTCTCGACGTGTGGATAACGAAAGTGAATATGGCTAGCACCTGCCCTATTTGTAAACAAGAGGCTTCTGCTGACGGAGCGAATGTACGCTGTCACGGCTGTGGCAGTGATTTACATCATAAATGTGCTGGCATCACGGAGTCATCATACAAGTCGATGGGCATGAACAGAAAGATGGCCTGGAAATGCAGCGGCTGTAAAGCAGACAACAGGAGTGGTTCAAGTGACAAGAGAAACTTGAGTTTGAGTGCTGGCGAGCAAGACCTGACAGCGGCTACCATACTTGAGCTCAAGAATATCGTCTTGGAAATGAAAAACGATCTGAATGAAAGCATTAAAGGGCAACAATTTGTGAGTCTGGAGTATGAGGACATGAAAAAGCAGATCGTGGAGTTAGTCCAGGAGGTGAAATCACTGAAAAATGAAGTGAGTGATCTGTTGAACAAGTGCGCCGAGAAGGATGAAATAATTTTGAGGCAGGAAGAGAGAATCCAAGATCTAGAAAACCACTCCAGAAACAGAAACATTGTGTTATCAGGTGTGGTTGAAAAAAATGGTGAAAAAGTGGAGGACATTGTGTGCAGAGTGTGTGAGCATCTCGATGTGCACATTGAGAAGACTGACATCGAAGCAGCTCACAGAATTCCTACGCAACGCCCTGGGGTCCCAAAACCAATAGTGGTGGAACTGCGGTCACGCAAGATCAGGGAAGAAATACTGAGAAAAAAGAAGCAAAAGGAAGTGTTCAACGATGTGATCTACTCTGGTGAAGGTGGCAAGGTATTCATCATGGAGCAAGTTTCGCCGAAAATTGGGTATCTAAAGTACAAAGCCAAACAATTAGCAAATAGACATAACTGGAAATTTGTCTGGATCAAAAATGGAAAACTGTTTGCTAGGAAAGGTGAAAACTCTCCAGTTGTGAAGATTGTGACGGAGGAAAACCTCGAAGCAATAAGGTAATTTGTCTCCTTGGTGTTGCACTTGTGTAATACAACTGGAAAAATAAAATGGCTATGAATACGGACTTTGTTGTGGACGATTGGAATATTAATGATGTTTTAGAAGTTTCAACATGTGAAGAATGGATAGGTGAAAAGGAGACTGAGGGTGATTTGTGCATTGTACATTTAAACATAAGAACGATTCATAAGTACTGGGATCAACTATGTATACTACTGGATAAAGTATTGGAAAAGATAGATATCATAGTTCTTAGTGAGACTAGAATAAGAAATAGTTTTGAAAAGTATGTGCTACATCACTTTAGCAGTATAAATGTTATCAGAAGTAATTGTGAAGGTGGTGGTCTATCGGTGTTTGTAAGAGACACTCTCTCTTCTAGACAAATCAGTGTAACCCCGAAAAATTTTGAGGGAATTTGTGTGGAAGTATGTGATGGGAGAGGACGACAAGCAACAATATTGGCTGTGTATAGACCCCCTATGGTAAGACAGCGGACTTTGTGGATGAAATAGATGATCTACTGCAAGCGGAAAGGTGGAAAAATACTGTAATAATAGGAGACATAAATATTAATATTCTGCAGGAAGGTAAAATCACAAGTGATTATATAGATATGTTACTAAGTAATAAAATCAGGCACTGTATTAACAAATGTACCAGAGAGGAATATGCTGGAAACCATTTAAGTGAAACCTGTATTGATCATATTGCGGTAAGTGTTAACTATAAAAATGTGTATCCTGCAATAATAAAATGTAAAATTAGTGATCACTATATGGTAGGAGCTCTGCTCTCTTTTCAGAATAATAAAAATAAATGTGAGGAAGATGGAAAAAGTGAAAACAAAATGAAGAACATACTTGTAAAAAAGAGGTGGAAGGAAAACTTAAATAGTGTCAAAAATAATATGACGGAAAGTCCAAGTGAAAATTATTTAGAACTTAGAGAGGCATTTTCGTCTGCTACCATAAGGGTTAAAATGAAGGAGAGAAAAGTAAATGGACATGTAAGAAAACCTTGGATAACTGATGAGATTGTTCGCTTAATGCATGAGAGAGATAAAGCCTTCAAAAGATGGAAAGTGTCCTCGAAAGAAAGCTACTTAAAAAGACTGGAGCTGAGACAAGTTTATCAGGGTCTCAGAAATAAAATAATTTACTCTATTAAAAGAAGCAAGGAAAGATATATGGAGGAGCAATTTGAAAAATGTAAAAATGATATTAAGGCTACTTGGAAACTGGTAAACTCTGTATTAAATAACAAAGTGAGTGAAAATATTGACAACATAATTACAAAAAATTTTGCGGGTATCTTAGAAATAGAAACGGTTGCCAATAACTTTGTCAATACTTTCAAAGATCAGGTTGAGTGTATTATGCATGAATGTCCGACACTCTTGCTGAAGAATGAAACTGACAGAATAACCAACTCTTTCTTTTTACCAGAAGCAACAATAGAGGATGTGATAAAAATTATTCTTACTTTAAAAGAAAAATCTCCTGGTGATGATGGAATTAAGGTATCATACCTAAGTGACAATATCGAACTAGTTGCTCCAATATTACAAAACATAATCAATAACTCAATAAAAAAAGGAATTTTCTGCGATGAAATCAAAATTGCCACAATCAGGCCTATTTATAAAACTGGATCACCCTGTGAATATAGTAATTATAGACCAGTCTCCATTTTATCAACTATAAGCAAGGCAATTGAGCTATATATGTATACACATTTATTCTCATACCTCAAAAAGTACAAAGTGATTGATGAACACCAATATGCGTATCAGAAGGGAAAGAGTACCATTGATCTGTTACAAAATTTCTCTGACATAGTAAATGAGTCCTTGGATAAAGGTATGCATGTTGTTGTAATGTTTGTGGATTTGTCTAAGGCTTTTGATTCCATTAGTCATGAAAAATTATTGAAAAGCTTAGAAAATATTGGGGTGAGAGGAGAAGCGTACAAACTGTTTAAAAATTATCTGGAAAACAGAATGTGTAAGGTAAGTGTGGCAGGAGTTGACAGCTGCTGTGTAAAACTTAAGTATGGTGTACCACAAGGCAGTTTTCTTGGTCCCCTGCTGTACTTGATTTATATAAACGATCTAAAAAGGTGTTTTAAAAAATGTAAATACTTTGTGTATGCAGATGATACTGTGATAATTTCTGTACACAAAAACTTAGATATAGCTGAGGCAAGACTGCAGGAGGAGTTTACTGAGTACCAAAAATGGTGTCATGATAAGAATCTCATAATGAATGGAACAAAGACTAAAGTAATGCATATATCCACTCCTTATATTGCAAGAAGAGATCTTAACCTAAGATTTCATTCTATTGAGTGTATACACAGTAATATTGCAAATTGCACCTGCAAAATGAATATTGAAATGGTGGAGTCAGTGAAGTATTTAGGGTTGATAGTTGATAAACACCTAAACTGGAAAAGCCATGTTAAAATGCTAAGAGGGAAGTTGAGGTGTTGCCTGTATAAATTATCACAATTAAGTAACTGCTCCCCACATAACATAGTAAACATGGCTTATACAGCCCTCTTTGAATCAGTCATGAGTTATGGACTTGAAGTGTGGGGATCTGCCTCGGATACAAACTTGCTCCCCATTAAATCATTACAGCAGAGAGCTGTAAAGATTGTGAAGAAAAAGCAAAGAGTTCCATTACCAAATACTATTTTAACATTAGAGAATTTGTACAAATTAAAAGTTTTAAAAAGAAATTATTTTAAGAAAGAGTTTAGAAATATAGTACAACATAGATACTTAACAAGAAATGAGAGTTTCCAATATAAGATAGGTATGAATAAGTATGGTGATAGACTGACAGAGGTGGTCGTGCCAAAAATACTAAATAAGATGCCAATAGATTTAAGGAATATAAATAGTCAAAGTGCCATGAAAACAAAATTAAAACAATATTTTTTAAGTACAAACAATTGAAAAATCTAAATAACAAAAAGAAAGGTGGAGTTTAAATTGTAAAAGATTTTTTTTGTTTGTAAAAGATTTTTGTTTGTTTGTTTTTATTGTTTGTTATGACAGAAAGACAGTAAATCCACCCCTGACAAGCAGTCATGCTTAGGGGTTGTCTTTTTCTATTTTTAGGCAGTTTATTACTATGTTAATGTTTCTATCTGTAAGTGCCTTGTTTAAGTTTTTCTTAATAAATACGAATTGAATTGAATTGAATTGTGTGTCTGTCCGCACTACTCCTCCTGAACGGCTCGGCCGATCTCGATGAGATTTTGCACACTTTTTAGGCATGTCCTTGGCTCGGCACACGCGAAATCTCACCATCGTAGCTCAACTGGTTCAGTTTTAATAGCCGAAAACACCTAAAAACGGCGAAAAATCGAGTTTTCTGCACTGTGGCAAAAGGCTACGGAAAGGCCAGTTAATTTTTTTGCCATGATTCTCCGTACCCAGAACCCAATAGTTTCCGTAGCCCTCTTGTCAATATTGACCGTAGGACTTTACAGTCCTCTCCGTAGGCCCTTAGCAGTCTTTTCCGTATAGCTCATTGACCTGAAGTGTAACACTCGTTGGCCTTTAAAATAGGTGCTTTGCAGCAGCAAAATAGAATGTCTGTGAGTGAACGCAGCTCTGGCAAGTGCCAGCCATCAGTTGTGACACTAAACTACAGACACTTTGATTCACCTTGATGACCAGGGTACTTACTTGTGACATACTGGGTGTGACGCAGAAGATAATGTGAGTCCAACATTCATGTCGAGCAACAAAGGTAGTCCATATCACTTTTACACAAATGTTGATGCAAAAGTTACTTCCCAGTCTCACCAAGTAGACTGGTGGGGAGGACTCTTCGCAGGTGAGCCAAGATGGGTTCACATGCGGACCGTACTGAGCTGGTTACGTTCTGTCACAGCCGGGCGTTTTATTTGATTCTCGAGCTGTGAGCAGGTTAAGTCTTGGCCACTCAATAGGCCAAGAGCCAAACATTGATTGTCAGCACTCAAAGACGTCGCGCTTGCTTCCAAGGCGAACCGGAGGTGAATCTTAAAGGAATAGAGTCATTAATGGACCATGACACGATGATACTGCCGAAAACTTCCGTGAAAATGACTCTTAATTTAGAACGAAACAGCAGCTGAGCTGTGGCTGCTGTCTGCTTGAACTCATTTGTTTATTTACAAGCATCTTTATCTTTTTGTCTTCTTTGGTCTCCAGTACTGCCAACACCTGCGAGAATCTGACTGACATGTGATAAGAGTGGTTTCTTTGAGATTGAAATACACAGTCTTGGAAGCTAAGAAAAAGACAAACTGTGCACTAGAAAAATCATTTATTTCAGAAAAGAAGTTAAAAAATAGAGAAAAATAAAGATTGTTTGCAACTGGGATTTTTTTTTTTTTGGCTTTCCTCCGCGCTTGCCGGAGCGGAGCAGACGATATACTCCTGTTGCGCAATGGCGGTGTAGTGATTGTTGATTTGTTGTCTGAGGACTTGGATATGAACCATCTTCGGAAAGCAAAGCAAAGCCGTGAAGTCGTCTTTGTGCGTCCAGTCGGTCCACTGCAATGATCTAGTCAACTGCCGCCAGACGGTTTCGACTCGCGACTCGCCAAATGTTGTCGGCGTCCATCTTAACCTCCCGGCTCAGCGTGTCAGCGCCGTCCTCACGTATTTAATTAACACGTTATTCCTTTCCTCTCATTTATCGTAAGTCCTTGGCGGGCGTCCGAACTCGTCTAATTTTAGGTTGCTTTGCATGTGACCTACGCTTTGATGCAGATTCCCGGAATTTCGCCTCTTGTGTAGTGAAGCGCACCGATTCACGATTGCTTTTGCCACTGTCGTTTCGTTTCGCTACGTTTCGTTCTGGAATCACTCGCTTGGATCTTATCCGAGTCGCTTCCGTGGGGGTCCAACCGTGTGGATCTCCGTTTCTCTCCGAGTCACCATTGCCCTATGGTCTAACATGTTGTTTTGTGAAAACAGGTGATTGCTGGAAAGGAGTGGCGGCAAGGTGATTTGGTGAGGATGCAGGAGTGCAGAGGGGGATTCATCAATCCATCCAGCTGCTAAGGACCATCCTGGACGCAGTGAAGCAGATCTCCTCTCCTGCCATTCTTCAGAACTACAACTGCATGAGTAAGTTTTCAAATTTCCTTGTCAACACATCAGCCTGGCCTCACCTCATGCGCATGGAGTCCTATCTTGTTACAACAAGGCGTGCGTTGTGTTTGGCACAATGAGTAAGAAAGGGTGACAGTCTGGCTTGTAGGGAGGGTTCGCACAAGCGGGGCCTAGGCTATAGACCTGTAAACGCCTTTGAAGCCCTACAACAATTACACCCACCAGAAGGGTGTTTCCAGAAAGTGGAACCATGGCTAGGTGCACAGACAGGAAGAACAACAGAAATCAGAGCTGACACTTGTGTATGCAGCCAAATCATTTCTCTCTTTTGAAAATTTCAGTTGCTCTGTTTTTCAAACAGAGTAGTATTGTCCATGCCCCTTTACATTAATTAATAGAAAATTCTTTTTCATCTCTAAACTTATGGTAACATTCCATAAGAAAGAATGTTTTCTTTGGAAATAATTTATGTCATAAGACATTTCTATTCCAACATGTGCACACATTTTTCTGAGCCACCATCGTGCTATTGTTTAACATGTTGTTGTGTAAATACAGGTTGTGGCTGGAGAGGAGTGGCGGCAAGGTGATGTGGTGAGGATCCAGAGCCGAATCCGTCAGTCCGTCTAGCTGATAAGGTGCTGAGCCATCCTGGACGCAATGAAGCAGATCTTCTGCTGTTCGTTGGAACCACATCTCCATGAGTAAGTTTTCATATTTCCTTTGTTAACACATCAGTGTAGACTCCATCGTGGGCAACATTTGCTGTGCTGTTGGTTTTGATGATCTAACTAATCGCCCTCCAAGCACAAATTCTTCAATCTTGTTTCATGAGGAATATCATAATAACGCTGTGTGAATTGTAATCAAGTTCACTGTAATCGAAATGCAAAGCAGACTTAAAGGAAATAATATTCTCCATGCTATAGCACTGTATTTTTTCTTTCTCTTTTCTTGCACCTCTTTATTAATTAACACAATTTTCTTTCATTTCCCACATGAAGCACTGGGTTAATGAGTGTTGCGGGTTGATTGGAAGAGCACCTTGACTAACTTTTCTCTTTTTCATGTTTTCTGCCCAGTCCCAGTGGATGCAGGACAACCAACAGACTCAGCCAAGTCCCTCTTCCAACCTCACCAAATTAGAGGACCAGCTCTGCTTTTTATTGGCCATGCTACCACCTATCTCACCACTGAAGAGAGAAGCAGAGGAAAATAATCAAGAAATATAATACTTCAGAGTTTGTGCTGCCTGAAGCTATTGTCAAATTATTTTTAAGTTAGTGATTTGTAATTTATTGTTTGCTCTGCTTTTGCACTCAACCTTTGCTTTGTATTGGTAATGGCCAAATTTGTTTTCACCGACCTTAAAGGACTCTATTCTAAAATAACTTCATTCTATTTGCATTTTGGAACTGAGTTTAAATTCTATATTTTCTTGTACAAGCAGAACAGATTGCATATTGCGGAGGGTGGCATGAATGATCTTCAGCCGTTATGCAGCACTGGTAGTCCATTTGTTTGAGCTGTGAATTATTTTTGGAGAAGAAGACATGTTATTAGCTTTGCTTTGTAGGTGCTTGGTTTTGTTTTAAATCATACAACTTTTACTAGATTGCTGAATAGTTTAATGTTTTGAAGTAATATTAGCATTTCTAAGCCTGGAGCTATACAGTATGTTGATTTTTATACATCTTTCTTATTTCTCTAAAATTTACTTAATCTGCCATATGATGCCCAAAATACAGATGTTGGTGATTCTGTCTGGGTCAGTTTATTATTGTATGCAATTTTCATTTTTAAATCTAGACCCATAAGTTGATTAATATCCATTTTAATACAGTTCTATAAAATTTATTTAATCTGCTATATGCTGCTTTATGTACAGCTGTAGTTGATTCTGTCCTTGTGAGTGTATTAAATTCTTTAATAAGTTTCTTTCATTAAATTTCATTTTGTTCTTGATATTCAAATCCTTACACTCTTATCTTCACAGAAAGCTATGAATTTTAGTGCTAAATCTTTCAATTGAATTAACCAATCTGGATACAATCGCAGAAGTGCAAGGCACGGCTCCTTTTCTCATAGTGTGCTGGTTTCCAAGCCTGCACACATTTCTGAATAATTGGAAGGAAAAGCTTGCGTTAATTTATGTGCTTTTATGCTTTTAACTTACTTTTGAATTGTGGTATGGATCACTACCTTTCTAAAAACTCAAATGTAAACTTGAGTTCACTTGGATAGTGAACATCTAGAATGAAAGCTGTTTGGATAAGGGATATGATGGCATCTGCCGCTGTAAACGTTTTCATAAGGACCTCCTTGTCCAAGACGGTGTAGAACTTTTGTGCAGCATACATGTTTTGATCTAGAACAATAGAAGATGCAGGCTTTTTAGTTGAATTAATACGGTAACTTACTCTGATACGAATAAATCATCTTGAATAAACCTAAATTACCAAGAGCAATTAAAGTGAGGCTTGCTTTTAAATCTGGAACAGAACTCACTATGTCGTGTTGTAGACTTGTTCTCTGTAATGCGAAACAAAGTTGTAGTTTGGAAATGGCTCTGAGGAGAATTGTTCAAAATGATTATTAAGAAAAAGATAAAAAAGGCTTTACCTCAGCACATTTTAAAAAGTTGTGAGTACTCTCATTAAAATAATGTCCCAGCATTTTTATGGCCAGCAGAAATGTTGTCTTTGAATTTTTTCCTTGGTCCTCCCACTTCCAAAATTCTGCAATGTTTCGTAAGCCACTTTCTGTGTTAGGGTTTTGTAAGAACTGCAATAGCAATCTCATCTGCCCATTCAAGTAGTCTTGCAAAGGGATGTCCACGGTTTGACCAGAGAGTCTTAAGAAGTGACTTGATTGCCATCGTAGTTCGAACAGGAATGGCCAATCCTCCCGAAGTTGACGGATAACACTTCCTGTGAAAGAAATTCTTTAGTCCTAGCAATTTCTGATTGATTCTCAAGATGTTATGAGTAATAATAATTTTACCTGGATCATCCAGCTCCCTATCATTGTCTGTTAATGCCCTCACTGCCTGACATATTTCTTTTCTTTGAAGTTCATATGTGAAATGCATCAACTTAGTCACCTGCTCGGTATTCAGCTCACTTCTGCGGGTGTGTCTTCTTAAGTTGATCAGCTCCTTTTTGTAATCTTCTTGTTTTTCTTCATCTCCCACTTCTGGCTCATGCTGATCAGCCAGTATACCAGGCTGGCCCTTAGATTGCACGGCTCTGTTTAAGGGCTGTCTTACTGGCTTGCTTCTCCTTCCTTTGTGCTCCATTCCATGGGTAAATGATTGAAGAAAGTTTTGGTAACCTTCTTCGTTAGGCACATTACCACTGTCATTTCTTACTGCCATGGGATATCTCTCACAAATTTCGTATGTTACAGACTCATAAATTAATTTGCCAGGTGTTTTAGTTTTTACGTAGTGATCATCCTTAAAGTCCTCATAGGTTTTAAACAAATCGTTTTGAATCCATTGTTTGAGATCCATGATATCCTTTGTGGACCCCTTTGACTTCTTTCTCTCAGCTTTATCCAGGTTTTGTAAGATACTAAGTTTAACATTGGCCCAATCAATACTGTAGGAAAAGGGCTTCCACTTTCTGGCAGGTTGACCTAAAAGAAACAATCACAGTAAAAATTAAAATACTTCAAGTAATAAAATGTTGATTGGCATACAACACGATGTTGCTGGATTACGGCATAATGATCTCACCATCCTCCCCAACATTTGTGTCTTCATTGGGATCTCTGTTTTCAATATCTGCAAAATGATATACAAATATAAATAATAATAAATAATAGTTTAATGCTGTTAATGAGACACTGTGCTTGTTTTGATTTTTCTTTGAGTGTACCTTCATCAAAGTGAAAGATGGACCCGCCATCAGAACTGTTTTCCTCTGACCCTGTAACACAAATTCTTTTTTATAGGCTGTGAAATACATTCTTTAAAACACGTTAACATAGACAAGCTGGGTCAGTTATGCTCTGTGAGTAAAACTTTCACACTCAACGAACTTACCTAGTGACAACAGAGCTGCAGCTGCTAAAGCTGCCTCGGCCCTGTTGACCCTGGATGTCGATTGACCCGCCTGAGGATGGGTATTAGTGGTGAATACTGATCCAGCGCTCAAAATTACTTTAAAAAGAGAAAGAACAGCTTACCATAACTGCTGGAAATTCCTTTCGAGGGAAACGTCTTTAATGTTTTGAAACGGTCAACGCGCGCCTCTGACTCAAATCAAAAATGACTTTCCGTCGGAGTCGGAGCTACCAACTACAAAAGTGATTTGTTGAATATACCCATTGTGCTTGACACAACAAAATTGCTCTGACTTGTGGGAAAAAAATGTAAAAAGCATCTCTAAAATTCTGCCTCGTTCTTTTTCTCACCTGTCGAGCTGATAAATCGTCGATGAGATCGTTTCTTTATATTAGCAGGTCTGCAGCTTTGTTTTTGTTTTCAGCTTGCCCTCCCAGCCAATCAAAAGCGCTCTCCTTGCGCCCCAGAATGTGGAGGGGGAAAAGCGATATGCGTCGTTTTAGCGCGTTTACTGAATGCACCTTCATTGCTTTGAGCCACACATCGGACTGAAGTGTTTGGAAGGAATCAAAAGGAACTTAATTAACCCCTCTGCCGTCGCATGTGTGAGACAGATCCGTGATAGTAAAATTATTGTCGAATGGGGACTCTATATTTTGCCATGTTTTTAGATCTGCCAGGTACGTACAATTCTTTGTAAAAATGTCGCCCATTATTTTCATATTTTTGTGTTCTTATTGTTTTGTTTTGTTTTGCAGGAGACTTTTGTTCAATTTTCTATTGCGTATTAGATGGTTCCAGCGGGAGAGCCGACGGCTATGTATAACTTTACTGGTTTCAGTTTTCTCTAGGTGCATATATCTTCCATATTCGGTAATTAGATAACCTTATCCTGTGAATCTACAAACATTGTCAAACTGACTTACATGTTGTGTTTGCAGGTCATGAGTGGAGATTATTTTGTCTGCTAAGAATATTTTCCCATTCTCTTCAGCTGGGTCTGCTGTATTATGCATTTTGCTTTTCAAGATTTTGTTAGTTCACATGTCATTGGTATTCTTTGATTTATCTCTTTGTATGTTTCTCTTTTTTATGATTCTCTGACATTATTTAATTCACATTGTACATTTAACTTATGTATTTACATTTGCTCCCTTTCTTAGGTTTTGACTAACACCTGAATCTTCTGCATTGTTTTGCTTCCGAGAGGATTTTATATCTGTGCTTGTAACATTACATTTCTTCACATGTCGTTGGGATTCTTTGATTTATCTCTTGGTATGTATCTCTTTCTTATGATTTTCTGACATTATTGAATTTACAGAATAGATTTATCTTATCTACTTATTTTTGCTCCCGTTCTTAGATTTGGATTGACTCCTGAATCTTCTGTACTGCTCTGCTTCCGAGAGAAGTCTAGCTCTGACTAAAATGTAAATATAATTTACGATATAATTTAAAGTTTGAGGTTGTGACTAGCTAACTTGGGTTTTATTTTGTTGCAGTTCAAAATGGGTGTTACCATACAAGAGTATCGAGCCAGGATTGGTACCTTTATATGCAGGAATAAATCAGCAGGAAGAAGTGGAAGTGACCATGAATGCAGAAGTTCAAAATTTTTGGCACATCCTATGTCTCTTCTATTGACTCTTATCCTTTTATTCATGAGTGGTATCGAGCTCAACCCTGGTCCAACCTACCCTTGTAAGGAGTGCCCCGAAGTGTCAACAAGTGCTCAGAAGTATTTTGACCATCACAAGACGGCACACGTTGCAATACCATGCTGCTTTCCTGGTTGCTCTGCCAACTTCATTTCATTAGGTGCTTTTCAGTCTCATCTGAGTAGGAATCATGAACCAAGGAAGGATGTGCCTCAGATGCCTAGTGAGGAATGTCCAGTGCAAGACTGTTCTATTTCACGAAAGGGAAGATCCTTCAAACAACATCTTGAGGACCACTTGGATGCTGGGCACCAATTTGTCTGCCTTTACCCTTCATGCAAGACTGTTCACAAGAAAAAAGGATCTTTCAGAACACACCTCTCACAAGTCCATCCAGCAACCAGCTCAATATCAACCAGTGCCGGTACATCTAGTGTTCCACAATCATCATCAGGTTCAACACAACCAGCAAGTTCCAGTACATCCGACGTTTCACAACCATCTTCAGTTCCAGCTCAGCCAGCATCAGTTTACCGTGTTCCTCCTAATGTCATCAAGCAAAATGTAGTCCTTTTTTATTTGGAGCTTGAAGGGCATAAAGTTTTGCCTTCGGACACAGTTCAAATGATATGTCAGAACATTGCTCAATTCACTGACTGGTCCCATGAGTGCTTGAAGGTGATACTTAAACAAGAGTTGTCATATGCTGGTCTGGAGAAAAAAAAAATGGACATGATTATAAACAAAACATTCAGATGTGATCCTATTTATAACATCCACCATGATGATCAATCCCATGAGCGTGTCACCACAATCTACATACGCAGAGAAGAAATGAAGGATAGAGCCCCTTTCATCCCTTCAATTGAAATTCAACTAAAAGCCTCTCTGGAAGATAAGCCTAGATATGCCCAGTACGTGCCTCTGAAGGAAACTTTAGAGGTGTTACTACAGGATCCCAATGTGAAGAGAGAATTTCTCAAATCTTTCATGAGGCAATCCAACCCAGATGTGTACGAAGATTTTTGGGATGGCTCTGCCTTCCAGGAGCATCTTGCGAGTCATAATCACCACAAATGCATTCAAATATTATTGTTCCAGGATGCATTTGAGTACAGCCCTTTTGGGCCAGCTAAAGGAATGTATAAAACAGCTGGTTGGTATTATATGTTAGGAAATCTTCCTCCTCAGTACAGGTCAAAATTGGATATGATTATGCTGCTATATCTCATACAAGAACAGTATTTGAAACCATCTGTACAGGAGCTATTAGACTCTATTGACAAATTAGATGAAGCCTTGTCTACAATGATAGAAGAATTTCAGAAGTTGAAGGATCCGCAGATAGAAGTTGATGGGGTGGCATACCCAGTGTGTTTGATTGTTGTTATGGGGGACAATCTGGGCCAACATCAGATTGGCGGCTACATTCAGAGCTTCTCTGCAAACTATTTCTGTCGTAACTGTCCCATCAGCAAGCAAGAATTCCAACAGAATCCTGACACTTGTAAACCATTCCGAACTGTGCAAGACTATGAAGCCTGTGTTGCTGAAGCCATGAAGAAGTTTCAGGAACTGAAGAAGAAGTCTTTGTCAAATCAAGCTAAGAAGCGGGAAAAAGCTCAGAAAGACCTGGAAGCTGGTGAAGATGTGTCAGTGCCAGATCAACCAGTTTCCAACAACGCGCTGAAAGAACTGCGAGCAATGCATCATATAGGTGTAAAGCCCTTACCATCTCCTCTAAATAAAATACCCGGCTTTCATGTAAACTTGGCCATGGCCCCATGCTTGGCTCATGACTTGTTCCAGGGAATAGTTGGAGTCACTTTGGGTAAAATACTAGAAAGCTTAGAAAAAAAAAAATGGTTTGATTTGCCAACTTTAAATCGTCGGATAACCACCTTCAAATGCAAAGGACAAGATGCCCTGGATGCTCCTGCAAAGATACGGTCATTTGATAGTGTTACATCCCATGCATGTGAAACGTGGACTCTGTTAAGGTTGCTACCTCTAATGCTCGACGACTTAGTAAAAGACCCAGAAGATGATGACTGGCTGCTGTACCTGAATTTAAAAGAAATATGTGAATATGTCTGTGCTCCTAGAATTACCAGAACTCAGATAGAATACCTTCGAACACTTATCAAGGAATTTTTAGTCAAATTGAAGGGACTTTATCCATCATGTCTTATTCCCAAGGCACATTATCTCTGTGAATATCCAGATTTGATTTATATATTTGGCCCGTTAATAAGGCTCTTCACCCTGAGAATGGAAAGCAATCATGTGTTTTTCAAAAATGTGGCTAAACAATGCAAGTCTTTTGTGAACATAACAAAGACACTGGCTCAGAAATACCAATACAAATTCGCTTGTGACCATATTAATGGGTTCTTACCTCAAGATTTTGAATATGATACAACTACTGGAGAAGAATTGTCTGAAGCACCACCTGAGTTACCACCTCTCTCAAATGACAAAAAGGCCATGAGTGTCAAAACCTTAATAGTTAAAGGAACCCAATATGAGGTCGGCATGTATATGCTACTGAATAAAGTAGAATCCATTGACCTATCAGTCGGGTGCATCACCAAAATTTTAATTTATCCCGATGAAACAGTATTTTTCACGTTCAATGTGCATACAGCCAGATCTTCAGGAAACGGTTACTTCATCATAAATCAAGAAAACTTCAAGAAACAAGGTAACAACATTTCAGATCTGCCAGATTACTTCCCCCTTCCTTCCTACATAATCAACAATGAAAAATGTGACAAAATTGAGTGCATCAGCTTAAAACACTCAACAGTTTTCATGTGAATTTGACTTCTTTTGCAATCCTGTCTAGTTATGTTTTCTCTCTTATAGATCATACCTGCTTGTAAATTTGTTTAATTTTTCAAAGTAAGTTTATAATTGTTATCTTCCCAAATATTTTAAGAATAAAAATTTATGAAAAGTGTAACTGCTTTATCTGTTTCACAATTAACAGACACCCAAGTTAGACTTCAACAAACCATTCAAGCCAAATAATAATTCAATAAACTGAAATTTAATACATTTTTTAATCAGACTCAAAAAATTGTTTACAATAATAAACTGACCCAGACAGAATCACCAACATCTGTATTTTGGGCATCATATGGCAGATTAAGTAAATTTTAGAGACATAAGAAAGATGTATAAAAATCAACATACTGTATAGCTCCAGGCTTAGAAATGCTAATATTACTTCAAAACATTAAACTATTCAGCAATCTAGTAAAAGTTGTATGATTTAAAACAAAACCAAGCACCTACAAAGCAAAGCTAATAACATGTCTTCTTCTCCAAAAATAATTCACAGCTCAAACAAATGGACTACCAGTGCTGCATAACGGCTGAAGATCATTCATGCCACCCTCCGCAATATGCAATCTGTTCTGCTTGTACAAGAAAATATAGAATTTAAACTCAGTTCCAAAATGCAAATAGAATGAAGTTATTTTAGAATAGAGTCCTTTAAGGTCGGTGAAAACAAATTTGGCCATTACCAATACAAAGCAAAGGTTGAGTGCAAAAGCAGAGCAAACAATAAATTACAAATCACTAACTTAAAAATAATTTGACAATAGCTTCAGGCAGCACAAACTCTGAAGTATTATATTTCTTGATTATTTTCCTCTGCTTCTCTCTTCAGTGGTGAGATAGGTGGTAGCATGGCCAATAAAAAGCAGAGCTGGTCCTCTAATTTGGTGAGGTTGGAAGAGGGACTTGGCTGAGTCTGTTGGTTGTCCTGCATCCACTGGGACTGGGCAGAAAACATGAAAAAGAGAAA